GTGGGTGGTTAATACCATGTCTTTGCATTGAATGCAACCCTGTAGTCCACATACATAATATTCGATAATATATGCGGATGGGAATGCGTGTGTGCCTCACTCATCAGTTGCTACTTGTTCGTAAGAGCCTGGATGTTCCCCTACGTCTAGGTGAACAAGGATATGCGAACAGACATATATAATGACTTTCAATGACTTATTCAAACTCATGAACAAAACTATGTTCGAAACAATGAAAATCCTACGGAAGCGAATTCGCGTTGACACTGTTCGGGACATCGATAAAGATTTCAAAAATTGTTGTGGACTGTGCATTCGAGATTACCAAAATCGTGTCTAGATGCTATACACAGACACCGATTCACTTCTTATGGTATATCAACACATCCAGAAGATATACTTGTAAACTTATTCGAAACTAGCTAGTTGTTATGGCATTGGGTGCGGCACGGTATCTATGGATTATATGTGAACAAAATGACATCGGGTTTCGTTTCAGAGTACAGCTTTAAAAGTTGAGAGGTCCAAAATTACCTCCGTTTGAGGACTATAAGATAATATGGAAAGTTGTCTGCACAGGTTTGAACGATATATTACTTTTAACAAATGAAGAAAGGATGCTTGGTTGCTCCATATCAACGAGTTACATAAGGTTAGAACGCTAGATGTTCATTTAGGCCTCTCGGCGAACGACGCGATAAATTACAACGCTCTAAAAGAAGCACTCCGTACAAGATACAGATTAACAGAGCAATGATTCCGCAAAATGTCCAAGTTCAGTACACCCGGGAAAGTCGAAACATTCATGTTCGGCAATATGACAAAAAATTATTTGCAGCGTGAGTCCTACAGGGAAAAAATATTATTTTACAAGTGTATTTTATATGGTTACATAGACTATTTCATTGAAGCTAAGAAAGGTACACATGTGGTCTCGAGAGACAATAAGGCGGGTAACCAATTGAAAGGCCAGGGACCAGGAAATACCAGAGAAATGTGGTACTGTTGAAGGGGAAAATTTTCGATTTGAAATCTTGCTAATGGTAAGGATAGACATTGTTATACATGTAAATACAAATGGGTTCACATCTCGCACGATAGCAAAAGGTAAGGGGATCTTGCTTTGAATTGCGACTGCTGTTGAAACAGAGATAGTCAGGAGGTGACGCATGCACATATCGGTCGTGCTAAGGCACTTTTCTTCCCAAAACCTGAGTGTTAACATTAAGGGAAAATTGATTAATTGATTACATTTCCTTGTATAAATAGTTTATTTTTAAAACTGATACGTCCGGCCCAGGATTAGAAGAACTTTTATTACAGGAGCTAGAGGGGGAAAGTTACCCATTGCGTATGCCAGAAGGAACTTTGTACCTGGGGAGCAACAAGGTATTTGCAATAATCTTATGTAATTCATTGATATTACTATGATGATTGTAGGATTTATTTCAGTATATTTGCCTAAATTAAGGGAATCAAAAGCAGCAGTCACGGTGGAATCCGAACTGAAACCAAAATATCAGGTTACGAAAACTGCACAAGGCAATCACTTCGATATATTCAATGTGATCTAAATCATGATTTAAATTCTATCACAAAAGAGATCGGCTATTGGTCTCCTTATTTTTTGTAGTCGAAAATTAGTGCAAGAAGCTAAGTCAAAGAAACAAGTGTATTTTTCTATCGTATTGTATTTTTATTAGTTTTATTATGAAATGTATTGTTAAAAAAATTAAATTTTGTCTTTATTTGTAACGGGTGCTTCTTTTTCTTTTTTATATACCTGCTCAGTTCCTTATATATTTCTCCCGACATTTCTCAATTTCTGCTGATATTTACTTATACGGGCAAAGTTTGGGATGGGTGAAAACAAATACTCCAACAAAGTTTGGGAGGTGTGAAAACAAATCGCCAGTTAATGCGGAATGTCTTCACAAGTTACGCTCGGTAAATCTCTAAATATGTCGAAGAAATATCGCATGGCTGTGAATCGCTACATATACTTGACAGCCAAACAATGGCCATTTAGGTATTAGGGCGCTCCGCGATTATTAATCAGTTTACGATTTCAAACACAAAAAACGGACTCGCCTTATTGCCGTATGTGTTGTCGAAGCGTTTCATATCATTGAACTTCCCAAAGTAGCAAACTCGACTGAATTATTTATTAATAAAGGAGTTCTTCGTTAGAAACCAACCTCGAATCTTAAATCTATATACGTGAACAGGAGTCTTCACTAATCTCTGCCGCCTCAATCGAACCAACAATATCGAGCCAAATATTATCAGGATTACCTCGATTTAAATTAATTTAAGCACTGATGCTATCGGGGACATAGCCACTTAGGGTTGCTTATTGCTTAGGTTCGCGGGTTATTTTTAATTGATTACTCCCTCATCACAAGTGTAAATTCCATGCCACAATCTTCAATTAAAATATTTTTTTATTCTTGATGGCGGGGTGGACACATGCCAAATCACCGCGGGGAGACCTAGATATTGCAATTTTACTTTAGATATTGACCTGATATTTAATACAATGATTATTTTAAGTGGACGTGTGAGATCCTTTGGTACAGAAGAAAATTCATTACATGACTCATTATGGAAACGTTCTTGGTAATGTATCCCGAAGAGTGTTTATATGAATTCCAAACACTGCTTGCAACCTTGCCTACCTGCACTGCACCGGTCGCTAAACTATTTACAATGGGAGTTGCTAATAGCATCAAGGATCGGTTTAAAGAAATTTTGGAAAATGCAAAGATTGCTGACAACTGCATAAATCAAAGGTGGCTACGCTTCCACAGAAAAAAAAAAACAATGTCTGCCATTTCCGTCTTTGCGCCCATTCCAGCGTTGTTTTCAGCTATAGCTCCTATGCTTCCAAAACGGACGTATATGGGGCCATCAAACAGTATCCAAGATGGATCCGAACAATGTAATTCGGGGATATGAATTATCTCGTGGACATATTGCTTCTCGTAAAAAAAAGAAAGAAAAGGAAGAGATCTTTGACTATCAATTCCGAGCTAAATGTCAAAGAGCGGAAGCGGTAATCGATTGTGGCCTCTCCTTCCACGCGTGCATTGACCAATTTGTATTTACCTACCATGACAAAGTCAGTCAGACATTTCTAATGCATCATTATGTGGGATGAGCGTGTGTCGATAATCTTCCTCACGTGGGAAACTCTCATCACCAATCTGTTTTTCACAACATGGCCTAGAATTCACTAGGTCATATATGTGGTAACCCCTCGACAACTATTTTATTTTTACTCCTACAGGCTTGCATCGCCTTTTTAAATGACTGATTATTTGACGCGGATCTAACCAGGTTTGCTCTCAATGCAGAAGAGTTTACCAACTGGGTAGTTGATGACATCGCCAAGGTCGAGCTTGCAATTTACACGATCAAACTGGAAAACTTAAAATATCTAAGGTGGTAATTAAGGATGTTGTTTTGAAGCTGCTATAAATCGATGAAATTCATGGATTCAGATGCTCTAGTATATCGGTGACTTTCATCAAGAATTACATTGGTGTATGCGAGGCTCTGGCGAATCAATACATGGATACAAATATTACAAAGCTACTCTCATCAGCAAGCGTAATAACATCATCGGCACGGATTAATTAAATATTTTCCACCGAAGGAATATTATATCTTCATGAAACAGACAAAGCCAAAATAAATGACCTACTTACCATCAGTTTTATCCTACATATTTTCAGCGACCAAATCAGCACATCTTCAACGTGTGCCGGTCATGATAGTGGGTATTGTATTTATTTATTTATGAACATTTTATTGCAGGTGGCATGTAATACAAACATCGATCAGGGTTATACTGCTTTATATACCATCTATAACACGTGCCACCAGGGGTGATACTATTAAAAGACCATTTAAATGTGCCATTTCAGTAACTGTAGTTGTCAAAGACCAAACTCAAATAGATAGATTCAACATTTATCCGGACGGGTACTTAACCGTATTTCGGCTTTGTTATATCATATGAGATTTATCGTTGTAGATTTTTAAGCGTTTCTAAACGCCTTCATAATGCTGCAGAATTTGCTGTCGGGGTGTTGGGCTGGCTGACAAGCGATGCTAAAATCATTGGCGATTTTGTGTGACTTGTCGACGACTATCTGCTTTAAAGTGCCACTAATAAACCACTTCTACTCTGAAATATTTTCTTGCTAACGGCCAAATAGAAATCTACAGCTGGGACCACCCTAGTGTACAAATAACCACTCGAAGCCACCCGGAAATCAATCAATTAACATGCGAAAATGTCCAGTCGGTGAATGATTCACCATTTGTAGCAAAACTCAATGATTTTTGCCGCAAATTTGAAATGTCATTCACCGACAAATCACGCCGGTTGCTTTCCTGTTCATTAAGTTACACTGACTCAACCAAGAAGAGAAAATTATCGACTGTTATTTAACAAGAACGCACCTATCCGTGTATCATTTTGTACAGGAAAACAAGAATGATTGTTTCCGACACATATGACTTACGTAATCAATATCCTTCTTAGTGAACGTAGTACTAGGCCCTCACCCCTACCCCACCCCACCCACCAACGAGCAATTATTCCTAAGTAATCGTTTTCTCTGATTGTAAAGCAGTTGTTTAAGTAACAATGTGTAATTTATTAGACCTGCTAGTTTGTGTTGAAACTGAATAGGGCCATCCGGCATTAAACTTCGCGACCACGCTTTTAATAAAACAACGAAGATTGACCCTCAACATTACTGACGCCAAAACTAATAACTGCGAGATGAAATCACGAAAAGAACCGCACTACCAGTGAAATATCAGCTCGAGTGTGATGTTGGGGATGATATTTGAGGCAATACCCCCACGACAAGTGATTGCGTTAGTGTTGCTATTATTATATCAACAGCAACTATTATAACACATAAACCGGATATTTGTTGGAGGTGTATCTATAACTACCGGTGCTGCAGACGATGATAGTAAAATGATCTCGGGGGATTTGAACCCACAGTCTTTACATCATTAGTAAGACGCTCTCGCAAACTGAGCTATGCGACCACTTGAGATATTAGATCATGTATAAATGCCAGTGTAGTCTTTTTCAAAGAGAAAATATACCCTTCCATCTATGGGTTGTCGTTTGTTGTGAGACAAATATTATAAAACACGTTAGCATCTAAAATCTTCCCGCTGATCGAAGTTGGGTATTTTATGTGTGCGCACGCACGCACACACACACACAGATAGATAGATAGATAGATAGATAGATAGATAGATAGATAGATAGATAGATAGATAGATAGATAGATAGATAGATAGATAGATAGATAGATTTTTGTCCAATGATGCATGATTTTATATAGTCCGATAAATCATTCCCCAAAATTTGTGTCGATACTGTTGGACGAGGAGCTAATTTTTCAGCCGAGATTTTAAAGTACATTGGCTGGTTTGATTTTTAACGGCACTACAATCCAGTTGAGTTTTTTAGTGTCGAGGCAATAGGAGTAAGGTGACGACACTAATTAAACACAAGAGAAACCAACCTCTGCGCATCCAATATTCAGATTCAAACCCATACCTTTGCTGTTGCGAGTCAAGCCCGTTATACCACTGCTTCTAAAGGTTTCATTTTAAGGTGTAAGAGTGCCACAAAAACTAAGCGCACAAGGATTATATCAACCAAAACTTTTTTAATGAGATTAGTATGCCCTAGGTAATAAGCTAGGACATAGCAATAACAATCATGTATTGTTTCAACAACTGAGCTCACCGATATGGCCTCATTCAATTCAAGGAGAGATCTATTCCTAAAGTAACAACGTCCGCATTCACAATTTAGATACCCTACAAATCATCCTATTAATAGGCACGCCGTTCAGACTACTTCGTAGGCAACGAGTGGATCATGGGATATCGTGTAAAAATAGCGTAACAAACCTCTCATCACACACGTTTCTTTTTTTTTTTTCTTTATCAGAAATCATGTCGCTTTCACGGATAGAATTAATATATATATATATATATATATATATATATATATATATATATATATATATATATATATATATATATATATATATATATATATACATATATATATATATATATATATATATATATATATATATATATATATACATATATATATATATATATATATATATATATATATATATATATATATATATATATATATATATATATATATATATATATATGGATAAAATTTGGAATGCAATTTTCCACAGGCACGTCAACTCGTTTATGATTTTCTTAGTTTATTAAGTAACAATATGCTAGCGTGATAAACTGTTTCCTGCAAATATCTGTATGTTTTTTTTGTCTCTTTGTTTGGAAAGATTTCTCCCTTATTTCTTAACTGTACACTTTTATCATTGTTGACGTATTTCTGGAACATATATATTTGGGAAAGACCATTGATGGGCCTCTCTCTCTCTCTCTCTCTCTCTCTCTCTCTCTCTCTCTCTCTCTCTCTCTCTCTCTCTCTCTCTCTCTCTCTCTCTCTCTCTCTCTCTCTCTCTCTCAAAAACAAACATTTCGAATAACTCCAGAAAATATTGAAAAACCTACAGGACAAAATGTTTTGGGGTTTGCTTTTTTTTGTCAAAACAGCTCCTCTTCCAAAATATGACATCGGGAAATAAGGATTAGAATAATTAAGAAACTCGAAATTAATGGCACAGTTTAATCATATTTTTGCAAAATTGGTTATGTATATATATATATATATATATATATATATATATATATATATATATATATATATATATATATATATATATATATATATATTATTTTTCTCGGTTCTTGAATGAACGTATAAAAATATAAACGACCAGTCTTTAATAATTACTTATTATTTTATACTGTGCCCTAGTTAATCTGTAAAAGACCGAACGTTAGTTGTTCCGAAAGGTATTTTAAATAGTAATTTTATCATTACATTTTTATAGGCAAATGTTTCATTCAGAACACAATGAGTTTCATTTCATACATAAACATAGCATGGGCGCGAGCACATTGGGTCAAGGGGTAAGGCACTTCCCCCTCTCCGCGCCCAAAATTTCACCCCAGAATATGTTTTGGTGTATATCGAGAAATAACTCTTGCGAAAAACTTTTGATATAAATTTACCGCTCCGTTTCCATTGCAAACTATTTTTCCGTGCCAAAAGAGAAGAAACTGCCTGACTTTTCATGTGCGAAACATGTGAACTAAGTTTTTTATTACATTTCCAGTGCCTAAACATAACAAACCGAACGTGTGAAAAGCTTTGACCAAATACAGCATTTCGGGGACAGAACGTCGGATATTACTGAGCTGTTATCAACATAGGTTTCAAAATTGTGTAAATTTCTCTTAGTTAAATTTTAATTTGTTGATCTTTTATAACAAAGAACTGACATAGATGATGACCATTTATATATAAATAAATATATATATATATATATATATATATATATATATATATATATATGTTTGTGTATGTATGTATGTAAGTATGTATGTATGGTAACAGCCCAATCTGGGAATCAGATCAAATTTAAATTATTTGTTGATATAATTTAATGAATTATCTATGACCATTTTGTTCTGCATGTACGAGTATTTTTTTATTTGAAATTATGCTAACACTGCTACATTCCAACCTATTTGGCTTTTAAAATGGGGGGGGGGCGGTTCTTTCTTTTAGGTTCACATTTTGTAAAAAGGTGCGGGGCACCATACTATTTTCAGTGTTGTTTGAGATTTTTCGATCAGATCTGTTTGTCGTTATCGATAAAAAAAAATCTTTGGTGCATAGGACATTATCTTGATACATTATCTTAGGCATGGGACATTATCGTGGGACATGGAACATTATCGTATAACATGGGACATTATCGTGGAACATTAAGAGGCTGGTAATTCAGGTCCCATGTAACCTTCCCTACATTTTCACATGCAACACTCGTAGAATTTCTCAATAAAAATCAAATTTAAATCTCTGAAGAGAAAAAAAAATATCCACCGTCCATTTTACCATGAATATTTCAGTTGTCTAAAACATAATTGTTAGTCTAGTATGATCATAAACAATATTAAAATGACCTATAAAACCCTAGAAATTCCTTCCTCAAACGAAGAACCTATTCCAAATAACGATATATAGGATAGATGATAAAAATATTTTTAAAACATACAGAATATTAGAAACTAAAGAAGTTTAAGTAAAAATGGGTATAATCAGATTAAACACATCATTACACGGTTAAGTCCCATAAGTCATAACAAAATTATATTTCCTTAATTAGTTCTAGTGTAAGTCATGTGAATCTAATGACTTCTCTACATAACCTACCATGGGTCTTCTGGCATAATATATAGTCTGCCTCCTTGCAGTAGAATCTCATGTTCTAAATATTCACTTAACACGTGCAAGTATTAGGGAAGTTCCCGGTCTATTTCTGAACTAGTTCTTTCCATGCGTAAAGTATTAATAGCCGATCAAAACTAAAGAAAAAGCTCATTTTGAGTTGAACCGGGATAAAACGAACAAATTCATCTAAATAGACAGAATCTTTATTATGTCATCAGGTTTGGAAAAATATCTGCTATGAATTATTTATTTATTTATTTATTTATTTATTTATTTATTTATTTATTTATTTGTTTATTTATTTATCTTTCTTCACTTATATAACATCCTAAAAGTGAACCATGATATTTTTGTGGCCAGCATCTGGCAACAGTTCCAAGTATTAAAAAGATAATTGTATGAATGCATATTTCATAGACAATTCATACCTTTTTTGTCGTTTGAAGAAAGACAAGTACGTACCAACCACCATTGCACGAGGTAGCTAATTATATCATCTATTTTGCTTATTTAATCTCTATTTACAACTAAAGTAAATGTACAGTTATTTCCACCTTCTGCCTAGATGACCCGCACATTTTACCCCAATAAACTTTTCTTTCAGATACCTTATACAAATGGGTTCTCGGTTGTCTTCTGATTATCTTAAAGTTATTTAATTCCTTATGCGCTCCAATCAGTTCCATCGAGACTCCGTGTGGAGTCCCCGTGACAATTACGGAAGAAAACAGAAAACCGAGTGAAGAAACGATATCACGGCTGCATATATTGTTGAATGAGGCAAAATCTCTAGCACAAACATCAATATCTGAGGTAAGTCAGTTCGTGTATTATGAAGTTTTTCAACAACCGTCAAATATACTATTATTCAATCACACCTGTTTGTTAGTGTCCCCCTGTAGGCACACGATGAGTACCGTTTCATTAACTTTTATTTATTTTTCATTTCTAGTTTTCATCTCTGTCGAAAAAAAAAAGCTGGTGGTTAAGTCAATCAAACATGACGACTATTATTAGTGTCTGTACTCTCTTATAAACCAGGTCCAACTGGGAATAAAACAGACCAGAATCTACCGTCGCACACTGCACCCACCAGCAGATTAGGGTCGATAATGTTTGTTCTACTGAATACTCCTAACGGACTGCAAACACCCAAATCTAAGGGCATAGCTGAGCCTTTGCAATTTGCAGTAATGGTGAACCTTAAGTCGACTTCGCCCTTAAGGCATGCGCAACGTGAAGGGTGCAAGGGACTATTTTAAGCGACTATTGACGGTACATAAATCTCAAGAATAATGCAAAGGAGGAAGTTGAATGTAATCTAATTTTTGAACAACAGGTTTATCAGGTGTGTAGTAATTTGCGACAGTAATGTAGCGAGTAAAATATGCTTCATTGAACCTCTGCCAATATGCAGTACACTTATGAAATCACACAATGTCTGTAAAAAACATAAATACAATTTTTATTTTTAAAAGGTTTTGTATATTTAAAAACACATGAAACTACTTTTCCAAATGGCGTGTCTTAGCAAAATTTTGGAATATTGTTACTAGCCAGGATTATTTTCTTGACCAAGCGGTTTCAAAACCCTGGCGCGATTCCCGCTAGAAATCGTAAGTTTACACCTAATTTCCAAAGACTTCTATACAACTTCAGTTGTAAGTTAGAAAAC